TCAAGTAGCAGAAAGATGTTCCTGTTGGCCTTGACAAAAGAAGTCATAAACCGGGCTCCAATGTCTCACGTCTGTAATCCTGGCTACTTGGGAGGCTGAAATTGTGAGGATCAGGGTTCCAGAACAGCCCAGGGAAATAGTTCCTATCTTCAAAGTAGCCAGAGTAAAATGGACTGGAAGTGTGGCTCAAGTGGTAGAGCACCTACTTTGCAAGTGCAAAGCCCTAAGTTCAAACCCCAGTCCCACAAAAAAAAAAAAAAAAAAAGTTGCAACAATCAGAGGTGGTGGTGTACACCTGTAATTCCAGCACTGGAGAGGTTTGAGGTCAGTCTGTATATGGCAAAAGCCTGTCTCAAAAAATAAAAAAGAAACTGCAATGCTGTGAGAGGCCTGATGAGACCCCTTGAGAGGCCACGTGACAAGAAACTGCGAGCAGTTCTCACCACTCAAGAGTGGCAATGACAGCCAGCAAGGGAACAGGGACTTCTGTCCAATAACCATTGAACTCTGCCCACAACCACAGAGTTTGGAAAAGGATGCCAAGCACCAGCAAGGAATGCAGGTCAGGCAACACCTCAGTCACTGCCTCATGAGATCCTGCACAGAGGTCTAGCTAAGGCGTCCTGGATGCCTGGACCCACGGACTGTGAAACATGTACTTTTGTTTTTGGTGGGACCGGGGTTTGAACTCAGGGCTTCACACTTGCAAATCAGGCATTCTACCGCTTGAGCCATACTTCCAGTCTTTTGTTCAGGTTATGCTGGAGATGGGGTCTTGCAAACTGTCCAGGCTGGCTTTGAACTGTAATCCTCTTGATCTCTACCTCCTAAGTAGCCAGGATTACAGGGGTGTGAGCCATGGGCGCCCAGCTTTTTATAAACTTCTTTGCGTGTGTGAAGGCGGCACTGAGGTTTGAACTCAGGGCTTCATACTTGCTAGGCAAGTCTCATATTGCTTGAGCCACGCATCCAGCAAGTGAGTGTGTGTGTTCACTGTGACGCAATAATCAGTACATCAGTGTATGGGTGTTTTCAAAGCCTTGGAAGAAGGACCATGACTTCTTGGGGGACAGGAGTGGGACACACCCTGGCCCCCACCCCCACCTGCACAGAACTTGCTTTCTACTGCTCAGCCACTAGGTGTCCCCAGAGTCCCTATGAGCAGGTGTCTTTCCCCATCTCACAGGTCAGCATCTGAAATGGAAGGAACCAGAATGAGACCATGTCTTCTAGTCTCACCCCCTTCCATTTTCTACAGGGTGGGGAGAGGCAGTAAAGCCTGCAAAGGGAAGGAGCTGGGTGTAAGGTCCCACAGCTTCTGTCATCTCTAGCCAGGCATTTTGCCCTCCCTCCCAGGCCATGCTGAAGGACAGCCACCATGATCACCTCTTCTCCCTGCCTTGACTTGGGGGAGGGATGAGGTGGGCAGGGCTCTGGGCTGTCTGGTGGGCAGATCTGGAGGAGGGGCAGTGCCCAGCTTGGTGCTGACAACGTTTAAGGGAACAGACTCCTTTTGAGATGGTGGGGAAGAGAGATCCAAGGTGCCATTTCTGGGCCAGTGACCCAATTTCCCTTGCCAAACTCTGACCCCTCCACTGCAGACAGTTCCCCCAGAAGCAGAAGCAGAGACTGAGTTTGGGGTGCTAGTTGTTTATTAGTATGAACATCTGTGAAGAGAAGAGGCCCAATGGGCACAGGAAGAAGCCAAACTGCTGTGGGCCTGATGAAGTCCTGGCTGCTCTGGGCTGGGGACCCTGGTGGGGGCCTGGTGTGAAAAGTGCCAGTCAGTGTCTGCCCCAGAGACTGAAAGGGTCAACCCCTCCTCACTCAGGCAGACACAGGGCAGCGGGAGCAGGCTGCCTGGGAAGGGTGTGGCCTCAGGGAAGTGTTTTTTGGCATAAGTGAACCCTGAGGAAATGACAGCTGGAGGCCATCCTTGACCTTACTCCCAACAGCCACAAGTCTTTTCTTAAAGGGACTTCTGCAAGACACGTATCCCTACCTTCTACACCTTCTAGTGGGGAATTATCTTTTACTTTTCTTTTCCCCCCCAGTGCTGGGGATGGAACCCAATGCTTCACACATGCTAGGTTAAACACCGAAACCCTCTTCCACACCTTCTTAAGGCTACTTTTTCTTACAGGAAATTTTTTTCCCCCTCACCCTCTTTCAACCAGAGGCTGAGAAAGCTCTCATTATAATTCCCACACTCAGCCTTGGCTCTCACGGTGGTGGGGAGGGAGGGAGAAACAGGCTTTGTCTGAGCTCAGGAATTTACTACACCTGGCAAATGAAGAATTAGGAACAAAGGGACCAGGTGGGGAAAGGAGGTGAAAGCCCTGGTTCATTTCTAAAACACACCACTCAGAACCTCAAAGAGGAATGGTGACTTCTGTTGCTCTCTGGCCATTAAGTCTACACTGCAGGTGCACATATGCCAGGTCCTGAGCTCACAGCCTGACACACCTGGAGACTCACACAGAGGCCACAGTGCCTAAATGACACTGGGGACCACTGATGGCCTTGGCTGCCATCTGACCTTCAGCTTCTTCCTCTGGACAATGCAGTATACAATTTATGGAACACACATGGCAAATACATCTTACCTTCAAATACAACTTCACTTCATCCTGTGAAGCAAGCACCACTATGCCCCAAATTTACATATACAGAAAGTTGAGACAAAGCTAAGTTGCTCAAGGTCACACTGAGGCTTACAGAAGCTGGGCTTTGGACAGTGTGACCCAAGCCTGCTTCTAAATCCTCACTTAGGCAGGGTCAAACCGACCCCCTTGGCTCAGACCTGCCCACACACCTGTTTCACTTGGTCCACACAGATTTAAAAACATTTGAGCCAGCTTTCACTCTGGAATTTCAATGACTCAAAAACATCCACACTTTCAGTTTCTCTTGGAAAATGTGGCCATCTGGCCACTGTGGGCTACATCCCACAAGGTCACCACGTGCGGGAGATGGGCAGCTGTCACTCTTGCATTGGGTCATGACACTAAAATCTACCCTGACTCACTCACTGTGTTACCTGCCTGGCCAATGCAGGGACAAGTTTGCTATCCTCAGTGAGGGCAGGGAGTCCTGAGATCAAGGGAGACAGAGGCCCAGAGATGCAAGGTGCCTTGCTGAGACATCCAGCTCGTCCTGCACCGGCCTAAATCCTATGGACTTGAGTCTGGCCAACTGTTTGAGGAGGGATGAGGAAAAGCACAGACATGCAGAACCACAGGGCAAGGTCGGGGCAAATACACTTTATTCAGTCCTGGCATCAGACTGGCGGAAGTCCTGCTGTGGGTGCCAGTGCCCCAGATGGAGGGACCACCCCCTTCAGCTACAAGACTAGTTCTTCAAGACCACAGACAGTGACATCTCTTCACTCACATGACGTTTTTTTCATTGTCTTTTTTGTTTTCTTAAAAAAAAAAAAAAAAAAGAAAGAAAGAAAGAAAGAAAGAAAAGAAAGAAAAAAGAAAGAGCGCAAGAAAGGCCCAGAGCCGGAGCACCAAGCTTTAAGGAGGCAGCTGGTGGCTTTGTCAGCGAAGGGAACGCGTGGGGCAGAGACCTGCAGAGACCCTGGGCAGGGGTCCAGGAGGACTCTGGGACCGTTTGTTCCTGAGATTTGTGTGTGTGAATGAGTGTGTGTGAGCACCCAGAGGTGAACACACGCCGGTGAGATACAGGTAGTGAGGGCAGGGGAAGGGGAGGCCGGAGGGGCGGAGCTCCATGGAGGAGATGGGGTGAAGGTATAACAGCAAGGGGGCAGGATTCCCGAGGACACCCTGAACTGGACACAACTTCCTCTTAAAACAGCGCTGTCCCTATCTCACTGGGAAAGACTGAGGCTCCATCGGCCCACGACCACCCCCCTAATCCCATCCTTATTCTCAGTTGTCTGGCTGGGGTCGAAGGTGTGTCTCGCTCAAGCCACTGTTCAAACATGGGGTCTTTACTCCCCAGGCCTAATCCCCTAGCACCAGCGTGCCTCAGTTTCTCCCACTGAATACTGCAGCTGTGGCTGAGGGTGGATTGGGGTGATAGGAAGGGACAGTGGGCTGAGGAAGGAGCCCAGGCTGAGAGGGTGCCCTGAGGTGACAGGGCGTTTCCCAGGGTGAGGGAGGGAGCAGACTGATAGGTGTGTTGGTTCTGCGTTTTCCTGGGCAGTCCCTTTCTCTTTCGGTGGATTTCCAGAGAAAGACCAGACCCCAAATTCCTACTTGGGTAGAGAAAAGGACGTTTCTGGGGACCAAGGCAGGCTGTAAAGGCAGTCGCAGCCCGCGGTGTGGTGGGGGCGTGGGTGTGGGCGACCCCATGTGAAAAAGGGGCTGTGCCACTCGGAGAGTTTCAAGCCCAAACCAACCCTTCCGGGCCAGCTAGTTTCTTTCTCTCCCTTCCGAATGCTCCTCCCATTAAGGCAGTGACGCCCCGTCGGGTTGAGAGGAAGCCACAGGCTCCGGGATCAAAGGAGTTCGTAGGATCGTTCTACACTCGCCCCCGCCTTCACCGAGCGAGCGACAGAAGCGCGCAGCTCGACTGGGACCAGCCCGCTCCTCCCAAGTAGCATTAAGCATGCGCAAGAGGGCGGGTCCAAGCGGAGAGGCGGGCCCTCGCCCTTGGGGAGGGGGGAAGCGCGCCCCTACCCCAAGGAGGGGAGGAACAAGGGAGGAGCGCGCGGGGACCATCCCGCCGCATCGCCCCCCTAAACCGCGAAGGCAGGCTGGATGAAGGCGGAGGGTTTCCGAGCGAGGGAGGGGGCGTGTCCTCCGGCCACGAGGAGGGGCGTGTGCAAGGTGGGGGAAGGGGTGCAGGTCTGCAAGAGGGACGGGAGGTGTAATCGGAGGGGGGCTGGCTGCTGGTGGCTGTGCGGGAGGGGACTAGGTGGGGAGGGGCTTGGATGTCAGGGAAAGGGTGGGGGTTGGGCTGCCTTGGGGTGTGTCTGCGGGGGAAGGGCATGTCTGGATCTGAGGGGGGGATGGGCACATCCAGGAGGGGGGAGGCTGCGCGGGAGATGGGGGTGCCAGCCTCGGCCTCCGAGGGGCCCCAATACCTGATTCCTGTATGTAAACAGCTGGTTTGGGGGCGTGCGTGCCCCGCTGACGGTGGGCTCAGTAGGTGAAAACCAGGTCGGCGATGCTAGACGGGCGCCAGTCCCCCGCGATCATCTCGGTAACCTCGGGGGTGCAGTAGTCCGGGAACTCGAAGTGTGACGTGCCCGTGGGGGGCGGCAGGTCCGGGTCGCGGTCCAGGGCGCTGCAGTCCAGGCCGGCGGGTCCCGGGGGCAACCTGGACAGAAAGCCCAGCGGCTCCTCCCGCGACGCCACCGTCTCTTCTTCGCCTTCCTCCGCCGCTGCCACCTCCTCCTCCTCTTCCTCCGGCTCCTCATCCTCCGACGGTGTCGGGGAGGCAGCGGTGGCGGCTGCCCCCTCGCCCGACGGTCCCTGGACGCGCTCCGCTTGTCCCCGGGCGGCCCGCCCCGCCGGGACCATCCTCCACAGCTCCCGTCCGGGGGTCTCCACCAGGCGCACTTCCAGCAGCTCTTCGTCGTCGTCCTCGTCGTCGTCCTCTGGCGCCGCCGCGCTGCCCCCCAAAGGCCCTCCCGCCGCTCGGCGGCCCCCGCGGCCGGGCAGTTGCGACCCAGGCTTGAGCCGGCTGCAGCCACCGCTGCCGCCGGGGGGGCGGGGCCGCGCCTTGGCGGGCGCCCCCTTGCTCTTTTTGCGCGGCCGGTACTTGTAGTCTGGGTAGTCGGCCATGTGCTTGAGGCGCAGCCGCTCCGCCTCCCGCACGAACGGGATCTTCTCCGAGTCCTGCAGCAGCTGCCAGCGGCGGCCCAGGCGCTTGGAGATCTCGGCGTTGTGCATGTCGGGCCATTGGTGCATGATCTTCCGCCGTTCGTGCTGCGACCACACCATGAACGCATTCATCGGCCTCTTAATGTGGCCGCTCGGGGTCTTGCACCAGCCAGGCTCGCGCGCCCCCTCCTCGGCCGGCCCGGGCCCCGGGGGCGGCGGCCCGCCGTCCCGCTTGGCCCGCGCGCCCCGCTGCTGCACCATCGCGCCTGGGCCCGGGCCGCTAGACGCCGCCGGGGGCCGTCCGCATCCTCCGCGGCTGGGGATGGGGGAGGAGGCAGCGGCGACGGAGGGGCGGCTCCGCCCCGCGGCTCGGCCCGGCCCCCGAGATCTGGGGAGCTTGGAGCTGGGCGCTTGGTCCCAACGGACGGCGAGGGGGGGGAGGAGGTTGGGGGGGGGGAGAAGATCAGCCGCACGATCTCAAGCGGGCTCGGCGCGCCCCCGCCGCCCCGGGCAAGTTGCACCCTGCTGCACGCCACACATTGTTTTGCGGGGGCGGAGGAATCCCGTCGCCTGGGCTCCCGTGGGCTCTTCTTGCAGCCTCCGGCTCTGCCGCGGCCCGAGCGCGCCTCTCCCCGCCCGGCGCCTTCCCAGTGTCTTTCTCCCCGCGCGGCCCCGCCGGAGCGCGCGCCACCCCTCCCCCTCGCCGTCTGCGGGCCGCTGCGGCGCGCGCGGGGCCGCCCCGTGTAAACACCGAGGTGCCCGCTTGGGCTGCGGCCGCACCACGCCTCGAGCTTGGCGGCGCGTCACCCGTTGCTGGGCAGAGAACCCGACATTTGCATCTCCCAATCGCTGGCCGGCAGGGCGGGGCGGAGCTTGGGCTGCGGGGCTGGGCGGTCTCGCTCCCGGGATTGGGGGAGAAGGATGAGATCGGTTTCTTTTCTTAGGCTGGGGGCTGGAGGGAATGGGGGTGGGGGGGAGAGATGCTGAATGTTCTTCCATCTGGCTCGCAAAAGCTTTCCTTGCTCCGCGTTGCCTTTGCAGTTTTAACATATTCAATGACCCCTGCTTTTTTCTTTTCTGGGACATCGGACCGTCCCAGAAGAGAATTTCGAGGGACCAAAACTCAGAAAAGCTTCAAGGAGAGTGATTCGCTTTGTCATAGATGTAATCTGTGCCTATACACACAACTCCAGCCACCTATGTTTTTGGACCCAAAGAATGAGGGTACTTGTTTGGCTTTTTTCTTAATCTTGTTTGAGGCGTCACAAAAATCCGAAGGGAATATAATGCCTGCTTTCCAAAGACGAAACCCCTAGGACACGCGCACTGCGGCTCGAGTCCTAGACTCGCGATTCCAAGGCTCTCCCCAGCGCACCAAGAGGCCGGACCACTGAAGGTCTAGAGCGCTGTGGGCTTTCGGTTTTCACGCGCCTCGGGCGAGGTCCGGAGGACGCGCACGCCCCGCGGCCCAGATCTTGCTGCGCTCACAGCCGACTCCGTGCGGGAGGAGGCGCGTCTCCCCTCGCGCGCCTGGAGCAGCGTGCAGGGGCGGGAGGCGGAGCCTTCCCGGGGGCGTGGCCGAGGCACGGCACGAGGCGCGTGGCGGGGAGGGGCCGCGCGCTCTTTACTCACCACGTGTAAGCTAGTTCTGGCACTACCCGGCGTGCGCCACCCTGGGGGAGGTCACCTTCACGCAGTCGTGGGCCTGGGCGATGGGAGGGGGCGCGGAGGCCTCGCCCCTATAAGCAGTTGGTGGGAGGAATCGGTATTAGACATTCTTCTGGGGACATAGTGGGGATGGTTAGGGGCGGGGAACTCGCCTCTAGAGGTTGGGCTCACGCGACTGTGGGCGAACCCTAACCGAGCTTGAGGGTGTAGGGCAGAGAGCAAGGGACCGAGGTGCGGCACCGCGGAGCGCGGTGGTGCTCTGGATACTGGGATGGTGGATGGAGCATCCTTGGCGGGAGGGGGCGACTCTTAAAGGCACAGGGCGTTGGGAATGAGATGGCTCTGTTCCCTCCCACATGGTCCCTTCAGCTCATGGGAAGCTAAATGCTGGAAATCCCAGTATTTGAATCTTGACAACTGCAGCTTGGGCGGTCTATTGTTCCATGAAGTCAGACTTCCTGTGTTCACAACCCAATGCTTCCTTTTGCCTATCCTTAAAATGGAAATAATGCAGTTTCTCCCTCGTATGGGTGCTTTACAGATGAAGTGAGATCATGAATGTATAAACACATTCCTGAGGTATAGTAAATGTTCAGTAAATGATCTGGTATTAGATTCCCAGTATACTATACATAGTTAACACAGGTCACCACAGAGATGACAACTTCAGGAGGGAAAGAGTTGGCAGGGTGGGGAATTATTTACCATTTCTGAGAAGATATCAAAGCAGTAATCATGGTAACGTAAAAACTTTCTTGAAATGTCTAACACCTTTACACTTCGCATATTTTAGTATTCATTTTATTTTAAATGACAAAAAGATGGCAGAACCTTCTTTTCAGTGCCAGGGCCTCTCACAAGCGTCTTTGACCCTGTAGCTGCAGCTACTATTATTCTAGTGTATCTGGATGATTTTTAACAGTATTCACTGCCAGACTGATTTGGACCAGGGTTTCACTATTCTCTGTCAAGAAAATGATAACATCCGTTATCTTGCCACCCCTCCCTTCTTCCTTCCATACGAGTATCCATCTGTTCAACAGACATTAACTGATACGGTTCCCTAAGCTCTGTGATGGGACACTGGGGAGCTACAGATGGTTAAAGTCCAGCAGAACCTGGATCCCTGAAACCCCACCCTATCCCCACCCCCTGCCTTCTCCATTGCAGCAGGACAGACAAGATGGCATGAGAATTATACTGAGAGCAATATTCTCACTCCCCCCTTTTCTTCCTCAAGAGACATATACGTACTGTGATGATTCATTCTAAAACAACTCTTGGAAGAGAGGGCATTTAATTGTGCCAGACACTGAACTTGAAGCCAGAGCTTCAAGGAGCAATTGAGGGCAACAGAAAAAGAGCAGGTAAACTAAGATACTTTTAAGTAGTTGTGAGTGCTACAAAGAAAATAAAGCAAGGTCTTTGGAGAGTGAGTGGCTACGATCCAGAGGATGATAGAGCCTGGGGTAAGTTTAGCTCTCATGAAGATGAGGAGCCATCTATGCATAGAACCGGGGAAGAACATCTGAGGCATAGGAGACAAAAGGCTCCTGGCAGAGGGCTGCAGATGAGCAAGGAATGGGGGCAAGGTATTGAGAGGAGATTCCAGCATGGAATGTCTACAAGATCAGAGAATGTGTGTGTAGGAACAGAATGGCTGAGCTGGAGCTGGAGGCAAGTTAAGGAGTTTGCAGAGTAATTAGGGTGCCATGGAAGGTTTCTTAGTTGTAGGGTAATACATGCAGGTTGAACTTTAGAAAGCTTAAGGAGTTTCATGTGGATGGATTGCATAAGGGGAATTTTTTATAGTTTTGGCTTTTTTGTTGTTTTGTTTTGTGGCAGCGTCTCACTATGTTACCTAGGCTGGTCTTGAACTCCTGGGTTCAAATGACCTTGTCTGAGCTTCCTGAGTGGTGGTTACTATACAGGTGTGTATCACTCACTATACCTGGCTTGGAGGAGGGAAATTTGGAGGGGAAAAGATCAGCCAGAAGTTTTGTGGTATTTCAAAACTGTCCACAAATTCTTTTGCTACTCCTAATTCTTCCTCCCTTCCCCTAGTTGAGTATGAGCTGTACTTAGTCACTTGCTTCTAATACAATGTAGCAGAAGAGATGGTTAGAGACATCTAAGATTAGGACATTGTAATAGTCAGTTTTTCCTTGCTGTGACAAATACCTGCAAGGCAATTTAAAGGAGGAAGGACTTATTTTGGTTCATGGTTTCAGAGATGTCAGTCCGTGGTTAATGGAAATACCAACAAGGGAGATTGTGGACAAAGCACCTCATGGCTGCTGGGAAGCCAAGAGAAGAGACAGGAGGAAGGGGCCAGGCAAGGGTAGCCCCCAAGAGCTCACCCCCAGTGACCTACTTTCTCCAGCTAGACCCCACCTCCTAAAGATTCTAGCACCCCTCAAAATAGCAACACCAGCGGTGGGGAGGGGACCAAGACTTTAATATATGAGGCTGTGGGGGGCATTTTGTATTGAAACCATAACAGATATAAAGCTTCATAATTTCCTCCTTACCCTCTATCATATCTCATTTATTTTGGAAGAAGCCAGCTGCCATTATTGTAAGGATATTCAAACAGCTCTCTGGGAAGGCCCATTAGGAGAGGGACTGAGGCGCCTGTCAATAGCCATGTGAGTGTGCCATCTTAGAATGAGACCCTCCAGCCCCAGTCGAGCCTTCGGATGAGTGTGGCCCTGGCCAGCATCTTGACAGGAATCTCATGATAAACCCTTAGCCAGAACCACCCAATGAAACTCTTCCCAGATTCGTAGATAGTGTTTGCTCTATTAAGCCTCTAAGCTTAGAATAATATATTATAATAGGTAGTCATCCCCTCTTATCCAAGAACCCTAGTGGATGCCCAAAACTGTGGCTAGTATTAAACCCTGCATGTACTATTTTCCCCCTACATACACACACACACAAACTTCATACCTTCATTTTAACTAAGCACTTACCATACACTGTAGCTATGGAGATTCAACAACAAACTAGGATGAATTTCTTTTCTTGACAATTTCACAATAGACGACTCCTTACTATAGATCTTAGCAACCTCAGCATACAGTTTTCTTATTAAGTTGAAATTTTTCACCTTTCCACTTAAAGGAAGCACTTTTTGGCTTTTCTTTAGCTATCTGAATTGCTAGCATCACAACCTTTGTGCTTCAGGGCCATTATTAAATAAAATAAAGGTTGATTTATCATGAGTCCTGGAATACCAATGCAGTAATCTGATAACCAAGTTGCTGGGAAGTGATGAACAGGCAAGTAGTATATGTGGAGTAGATCCACTGGACACGGGTGAATCACATCCCAGACAGAACAGCTTGCGAGTTCTTTACACCGTTCACAGTGGCACACAATTTAAAGCTTATGAATTGGGGGAATGGCTTTTCAGATCACAAAGTAATCAGTGCAGAAAACTTCAAAAATACTGACATTTAGGCTAGGCATGGTGGTGCACACCTGTAACCCCAGACCTCAGGAGCCTGAGAGAGGAGGATGGAGAGTTCAAGGCCTGCCTGGGCTTCATAGCAAGATCCTATCTCAACAAACAAACAAACCCCCCCTGAAATTTAAGGGAAAGATCATTTGTTGGGATTTATTGTTTTGGTGCTAAGTAACACCCACTTTAACATTTTGGGATCTTTTTTATTTT